AAAAGTGTTAATACCAAAAACAACGGAGTTATGTTACTTTTTAAAATGTCCTATCCGTATGTATGATTTGATTTTTACAATGTTTTTTGCTTCTCCTGCCTTTGTGAATTAAGGTGACGATATGTATGTATATCAAAAGAATTTTATAAGGGTATAGATTTTTGTGTCAAAACTTGTACAAACTTAAAAAAAGACACGTTTTTTTTTGACAAGTGCTTTTAAATGAAAACTGATTTAGTAAGAAAAAGAAATAATTTCAATTGAATTAATTACTTTCGTAATGAACGTTTGGGGTGTGAGATTTAGTCAGTTAGGCTGAGATAAGACTATAAATTCGTGTTTTGTAAATAAACTTTGATGAATGGAAAAATTCTGTATCTTTTTTCCAGCAATAAGTGCCGTTATATGAATTCAGGGCGAGGTTATTTGAGTACCAAAATAAATAGTTGCATTTACGTCAAGTTCTCATCACTTTCACATTTAAATTTTTTTTTTACTGCTATGTACCTATGTATGCACATATGTAGGTATTGTCTATATGAATTATGAATATTTTTGACGGCATGTACCTAAGTATGTAGTATGTGTGTATCCGTGTGAGTGCGATAGTGCATATGCCTAAGAGATTGGATGAGATTATGTGGGCGTATGCACATACATGCATACATACACACAAACATTTCTATATATATATATATATACTTATGTATATACCTATGTACATTTGCATACATGTGTGAACACAATATGTATGAATGTGTGTATGCATGCATGTATTAGTATGTGGATATATGCGCGAGCAAGAGAGCCTCTTATATGTTCTGAAATTCTACATTTATCATAAGTAGTAAGTAACGGGTGATTTTTTAAGAGCTTGATACCTTTTTTTTAAAAAAAAACGCATAAAATTTGCAAAATCTCATCGGTTCTTTATTTGAAACGTTAGATTGGTCCATGACATTTACTTTTTGAAGATAATTTCATTTAAATGTTGACCGCGGCTGCGTCTTAGGTGGTCCATTCGGAAAGTCCAATTTTGGGCAACTTTTTCGAGCATTTCGGCCGGAATAGCCCGAATTTCTTCGGAAATGTTGTCTTCCAAAGCTGGAATAGTTGCTGGCTTATTTCTGTAGACTTTAGACTTGACGTAGCCCCACAAAAAATAGTCTAAAGGCGTCAAATCGCATGATCTTGGTGGCCAACTTACCGGTCCATTTCTTGAGATGAATTGTTCTCCGAAGTTTTCCCTCAAAATGGCCATAGAATCGCGAGCTGTGTGGCATGTAGCGCCATCTTGTTGAAACCACATGTCAACCAAGTTCAGTTCTTCCATTTTTGGCAACAAAAAGTTTGTTAGCATCGAACGATAGCGATCGCCATTCACCGTAACGTTGCGTCCAACAGCATCTTTGAAAAAATACGGTCCAATGATTCCACCAGCGTACAAACCACACCAAACAGTGCATTTTTCGGGATGCATGGGCAGTTCTTGAACGGCTTCTGGTTGCTCTTCACTCCAAATGCGGCAATTTTGCTTATTTACGAAGCCATTCAACCAGAAATGAGCCTCATCGCTGAACAAAATTTGTCGATAAAAAAGCGGATTTTCTGCCAACTTTTTTTGGTAATAAAATTCAATGATTTGCAAGCGTTGCTCGTTAGTAAGTCTATTCATGATGAAATGTCAAAGCATACTGAGCATCTTTCTCTTTGACACCATGTCTGAAATCCCACGTGATCTGTCAAATACTAATGCATGAAAATCCTAACCTCAAAAAAATCACCCGTTATTTAGGTATATGTATGTATTCTATTACTTTCGTAATTTCATGTTTGATCGCAGGTTTTGTTAAGATTATTTTTTAAGATTTTTCATTAGTTTTTTTTTTCATTTTAAATATTTTGAATGCATTTTCATCTAAATTTCCTTAGAATTAATGCTGCATTTTTTGAGTGTTCTTTGTTTTTTGTTTGTAAATAAATAAACTAAAGTTAATAAATAATATAAAAACAATAAAATAATATTAAGTGGTAATATTAATGGTAATAAAATAACTAAACAAAACAACAAAAGAGCAGTAGAAGTAAGAGGAACAGAATAAGAATACAACATTGGAAAAATATTATTAAATAAAATAAACCTTCTATAGCACCTTTGTTTAACGTATCAAAAAACCGATATGATTTTTTACATTAACATATTTTTTTTTAGTAGTACATATTTCATATAATGATAGGCATAATGATAAGGTCACACACATATTGATAACTATTTTTTTTTTATTAATTTTTTTTTTTTTTTTTAAGTATAGTTCATTCCATAACGAAACCCATCTAAATTCAAAGATTTTTTAGAAATTTGACAAAATATCAAATTTATTTTCAGAAATTTTTGGAAAAATTGTAAGTATGCAGTCTTATAGCGCATTCAAATGCTTACAAATTATCTTTGACTTAAAACAACAAATTTTTTTTTGGTCACGGTGTTGAGAATTTTTTTTCATATAGCGAATGTTGGCATTTATTTTATAAGGAAGAAAATACGCAACACCGTCAACAAAAAAATATTGTCAAAACCAACGGCGCTTTATTATACTAGACCTGTCGTAAAAATTTTTAAATTCTAAATAAAAAGCGTGAAATTTTGATGAAAAATTTACGAGTTTTTAAAAACTTTGCAAAGTGCTAGAATCCTGGATTTAGATGGTGTTTTTATGGAATGAACTATATTTCAGAACAAATAGTAGTTATAATTAAATAATTTGAAAAAAAATATTATTATTTAAAACTTGTCAATATATAGGCGACCTTATCATTGTGTCTATCTCTATATATGAAAAGTAGCTTTTTCACTTGCTCACTTTTTCTATATATTATTTTTACTTATTTGATTTTCTATTTTTGTTTTTGCTCGCATTTTGCAGACATTTCTATTATGAGTAGCTAAAATTTAACACCCAAATTCATAAAAAATAAAGAAGACCTTAACTGCTTTATAAATCAAAAATTTGTATGAAAATGTCACTTTACAGAACTCTTTAAACCTATTTTATTTTTTATGAATAAGGCCATAAATCTGTAAAATTTAAATTGCAGCATTTAAAAGAGCTTGTTTTTTTTTAGAATTAATTAAAGAGTATTAGTCATTGGAATGTGTTTTACAGTTATTATCGAAATTTAGTCGTTCTTGTGATATTTATGTTTGTATGCATGTATTTAAGTAGATTTGCTGTGGTGGACAAGATGCAGAAAAAAATTACCCCAAATATGCTTCGAGGTGTCACTACTATCAGTGCATATCTATTGCTCATTTACTAAATGACTGTCAGATCTCAGTCCTTATCATCCTAACGTACCACCCGAATGCCAGTCAATTAGAGCTCTTCAAAAATTATTAAACTTTTGATTTTTTTTTATTGTCGAATGTAGGTGCAACTGAAAAATGTAAAACGAAGGCCACTAGGTTCGGCAAAAAAAAAAAAATGTTAGAAATTGTCTGGCAAAAATACTTTAGGACTCAGTGATGGGCGGCGACCTTTTTTTGTTGCTTGCGAGATGGTACGGTCTAATGTGCCATTAAAATTTGAAACTTTTTGAGCGCGTTTCATAACAAATCGGGCTATTGAGTTTTGCCAGTCTTTTAGAGAATACATATGTACAGTGTCGGACAAAAGTATTGGCACAGAGAATTTTTCACAATATGTATCTGAAAAGTTTTTTATTCTACTTTATTTTCAATCATTATTTATAAAAATGTAGTTCGTCCTACACCAAAAAACATAAAAACTAAATCTCTAAACTCTGTGCAAAACTCAGGAAAATTCAGTAAATTTGCATGCGAAGTTACAACTTTCTATTTAGATTTTTATTTTTTTTTTTAATTCTAGGTATGCAGTTTTATTGCCCATCTAATTTTACTAAAAAAATTGCAAGCTTGTAGTTGCTAAAAAATCGCGCTGGTTTTTGACATTTTTTCCCTCAGGTTCTTCCATATAAAGTATGCTCGACAATTATTTTTTGTATAGAGAAAATGAGCAACACCTTGAAGGCCAAAAATCAACGCTGTTATACCAAAATTGAAAATAGAAAGTTGCAAATTAGTATGCAAATTTATTGAATTTTCCTGAGTTTTGCACAAAGTTTGAAGATTTTGTTTTTATGTTTTGTGGTGAAGTACGCACTATATTGTTATTAAAAAATATTGAAAACAAATTAGAATAAAAAACTTTGCATATATTGCGAAAGGTGCTCTGTGCCAATACTTTTGTCCGGCACTGTATGTACATATAAAAAGTTTGTTTTTGTAGGTATTATTTTCTGTAAGTTTTTTGTTTTTGTTGAGAGAACTATCCAAAGATTTATTTATATGAAGTTGCAGTTGCAGTTATATTTAACAACAAAATACATACATAAATATTTTTTAATGCATTTACTATGTTTTTTTTAGCAACATTATTATTTTGTTTATAACTAATATTTGGTTTATTGCATTTGAGTAAAAGTGTTAGTGTATTAGTGAATGGGTAAGTGTGTGCTAGTGTTTGTGCATGCGTGTGTGTTTTTGTGTATGTATGTATGTATATGCGTCAGTGTGAATGCTAATGAGTATAAAGTTTGTTTTTGGTATATTTCGGAGTTAACTTGAAAACATTCGATTCGAATGACACTTCATACATATGTATGTATGCAGATATGTAGGCATGCATGTTTGTATTTATGTATGTATATTCGCTTGTGTCTCAAAACGCCAGAAAAACTAAGCCACAATTTTTTTTTTTTTATCTTTGCATCGCTATGTTTGCAAGTAGTTTTTTAACAACTTAGCTTAGCTTTATATTTTCGGCTCATTAAAAAATATTAATTTAATTTTATCGAACAAAATGCTTAAGTGCATTGCAATCAATTTAAACCAATTTCGATGCTATAGAAAAGCCTATTTTAGCAATAATAACTTCCATAAAATTTCTTCTCGCCACATTCTTGTTCATTACTGTACGTACTGGGAGATATATTATTGACTTCCTTGCGGTCGCAGCGTTCGCCCATGAATCCTTCCGGACATCTGAAATGAAGATTTGGAGAAATATGGTTTGAGTTAGTAACAAATTCTTATCTATGAACATTTTGTATTTAATCGAAGACATACATATATAGATAAGTACAGTAAGTACAGTGGCATAGCTAAGTGGGGCAAAGGTGTTGAAGCCGCAGCCACGCTTGCGCTGTATGAAGGCGGCGAAAAAACGGTGCTCGCTATTTCTGAAGATGGAAAAATAATACTGGAAACATTTTTTCGTCGCCGCCGCACAGTGCAACATTTATGACAGATTTTATTCAAACATACTGGGGTAGTAAATTTTTGACAAATCCGTATAATATCTCTCTTTAGAAGCCTTTATTTAACTTGCTATGTATATATATATGTAAATAAGTATTTTTTTTTAGGGGCAAATTTTGCAATAAATTTTTGACCAACTTCCCGTTGACCTAGACACTTGAAACTTCATAGTTGGCTCCGAATCCGACGACAAACCAATACGAACGGTGAGTTAATCCGATAGGCGGCGCAGGAGTTGATTTATTTCGTACTTATAGTGCGATTTGGATCATATTTAAAACGTTTGTTTACCACATGAAAAGAAATAACTCCATTAAAATTTTTGCCGATAGGTGGCGCACGATATATTTTGTAAACCAGAATTTATGGTCCGATTTCGTTCATATTTAGAAAGCTTGCTTTAAAAATATTTGTATTTACTATTAACTTATTAAATATTCAGGGCGGATTTTAGAAAAGATTGTACATGTTTATAAGCCTGAATTAAAAAAAATTTAAAAAAAAACATCAAACTAAAAGTAGTGTGTAGTCTTTTCTTTCTGGAAAATTTTAGATGGTGCGCCATATTGAATCGGCCATTTTGAATTTCGCGGTTCTAACAAACCAAATCGAGTTCAACGACCTCAAAAGCGTTTTTTACCACATTTAGGGCCGTTTTCTCAAATAGCTTTTAAAATTGATCTGGGCTTCAAACACCTTTTTGGATGGTGTCTCCGCGCGTGTTCGTGCAGGTTTTCAGTCTGTTGGGTTCCCAGGCGCAACATGTTAGTCCACCGCAAATTTTCTTTACCATGAAAATCTTTTCTATTTATTTTTACCTTTATTGAAGAGCATTATACATAAGAAAAAGTCTTATAAGTAGTACACTGGGGCACCCGAAGTCTATTGTTTCCTATGCTGTAGGCGTTGTTCATTCCATTAGTAATAGATGCTCTTTTGGACGTTTCAAATGCCTAAGGGCCGATTTCATAATAAGTTTAAAGAATACTTTAAAATTTAAAGGATGCTTCATTTGGCTGATCGATTTCATAAAGCCACTTTAAAGTTAAAGGTGCCGATAAAGGCTCTTTGGTTAAATACCCAAAATGGAAATTTAAATGACATAAAGGTCCCTTTTGTAAGAAATAAAATATAGGTCATTTTCGTAGCATAATTTCATATTTATGACAATCAGCTGATGCAATTTTGCCGAGATCAGCGTTGCCAACTTTGTTATTTTAATTTAAATGAACCTTTTGTTATTATTCAATTGCCATTTTATTATGAAAACACCTCTTGTTTAAAGTACATTTAAATTACACTTTAACTAAAAGATAACTTTTGTAAAAGGAAATTTAAGTGTTCATTGTGAAATTGGCCCTAAATTGTGGAATTGATTCAGAAAATGGACCTAGCTTAAAATGATTTTCATTATCAAAGAAATTGTCCAGTGTAGGCGTATATAAGGACACCGCATGCATGTATGCATGTATGTGCATTAGGGTGGTAAAAAAAAAAAGTAAAGTTGGAATTTTAATGTTCTCACTCGAAATCAAAAAAAAAAAAATAGTGAGAGGTCGCTCAAAGCACTTAAAGTTTTCCATGTGTTTTATATGGGAAAAACAATTTTTCGTAGAAATGGTATAGAATTTTTGAAAATCAATATTTTCCGATCGGAAAACTTTGCTTCTTTTCAGTACACTTCCAATAATAATACCCAATTATTCATTTAACCATCTTTTAATATTAACTATTTTCTAATAAGTTCCCCAAAAAAAGCAATGGGTAGGACTCATAACAAATCATTTTTAGACCACCCTAATGCACTCGTATATAAAAATATACAGTTAATTACCGTATTACATATCTGATCGCATGAAGCTATGAGCATTTACGCATCGAACACTCAAATTACCGAACCGAACTGCACTCTCTTCAATTATATTATCTATTTTTAGGCGTAGACGCATACATATCAATTAGTTTATCAGTGCATTTGTTGTAGTCTGCAATTCGAGACATCCCTATTCACGTTTAGTGTAATTTGAACATTTACCGATCAATACCACTTCACCGCACTCAATTTCACACCATAGTACATCGCCCTGACTTGAATCGACTTTTGGCTCGAGGAGTTTTGTTTACACTATAACCGTTGATTGGTTTGTCTAAATATAAATTGTGCCAACAAACACAAATAGACAAACGTACCCAGAGTTGGTGAGGGTAGAGCAGCGGGAATGAAGTCGGTATGTTTTGCTACACTCACACTCAGGTGGTGGTTGTCAGATTGCGGCGGGCTGTAAGAGTCGACATTGTCGTTGTGTTCGTTAATGTTGGTGTCGTCGCCGTCGATCACAGCAGTACACGCACATTGGATGCATAAGATGCAGCTTGGAACAGCCGTTCCTAATTGACTAAAGAGTTTTGTAAAGTAACGCTGTTACTTTTACGCTATTAAGTTTTTAGTAGAAAAATTCAAAATTTACATACCTAATTAAAAGTTTTTGTTGTGAACAATTTTTGGCTTTGAAAGGGTTACATTTTAGTCTGAAATTGGTTTTGTAAGACACATTACGCTTTAGGAAAGTTACGAACGTAAGAGTAACTAGCAGTGTGACTAGAATATCACGTAAAACACAAAGCTAAATTGATTTTGAAACACGGTCTGAAAAAATTATATCCTGTGGAAAATGAAGTAAAAAAGAACTTAAGATGTCAAGTTGGTGACACGTTCTGCGAAACGATTTTCTTTAAATAAATGTTTAAGCTCTTATCAAAATTCGTTTCAAAAAAAGCTACAAAGCTAGACCTTAATTTTTGAGGCTGTGGCATAAAATTTAATGCCAACTAAAACTAGCCTCACAAAGGCTAATCTGGTCACACTAGTGGCCTCCAGCTAGCTGCCGAAAAAAACGGATGTCTTGCTACTACCAGTAGTGAATTTAGAAGCCTGCGCCGGGGCGCTGGCAACAAGAAAAGTAATAAACTGTTTGGGCGTAAGACTTGTCACCAGATTAATATTCATAGCACCGATTTATGGCAAATATATTCCTATACCAACTTAGATCAAAAAGAACCTTCTTCTATCGACTACACTTCCAGACGCTTCTGCTTACCGAACGGGGTTCTAACCTACCATACTGATGAACAGCTGCATCACATCTACATATGCACAGACATACTGACACAAGAAAGAAAAAAGGCTTTGAAACTTTAGACAGCGAATACATTTAAAGCGGAAACACACAGCCCGATTCTGTGCACTTGATAAATAACAATTTTTTTATATTTTATAAATTTTTTATTATTTATCAAGAATTGGAATTCTAGAGCACAGAAATCAAAAGCTCTATTCTTGATAAATCATCAAGATTGAAAGGCCGATTCAAAAGCTCTATTCTTGATGAATCATCAAGATTGAAAGGCCGATTCTGTGCACTTGATAAATTAAAAACTTTTTTAATAATATGCAAATTTTTTGATATTTATCAAGAATTGGAATTCTAGAGCACAGAAATCAAAAACTCTTGACAAAATTATCAAGATTGAAAATGCTATTGGCAAGCGTTTACAAATTGAAATTTCATATGAAATGAAAATTATTATAAATTACGAATTTCGTATATTTAAATTTATTTTTTTTATTATTTAAATACTGCATGTATCGGCATTTGAACTTTCGACGCACAGAATTTATAGCCGACATCTCTACCTACTCGACAACGGTGGTCATAAGCTTTTTTGCTTTTAAATTCATATTTTTCATAAGTGACAATGAAATTAGTTCCACTCATGTGGAAATCAGTTTCCCTCTTGTGGAAATCATAGAGCTTTTTATTTAATATAAATATTGACACAGAATGCGATGGGAGCTTTTACTTAATAAAAATCTTTATAAAATTGCTTTACAAAATAATTTATCAAGAAAACACAGAACTGGGCGGACAGTCTAAACAAAAAAGCGTGATCTGGAGGCAGGCCCAAGGATGGACAACTATGTAGATTAATTATGTATGTATATTAATGAGAAATATGGAACGCCAAATGGAAGCAATAGGAAAGTGGGTGACGAACAGTTGAAGAGCTCCATATAAAATATGACAAAAGTACCAATTGTGGTCGATTTTTCTGTAATTTGTTATCTGTATTTCTGCTTAGGAATGAAAAAATCTGAAAAATCCCATAGATAAGCAAAACGCAACGCCCATTTTACTACGAGTAAAACTGAGTCGTACAAAAACGAATATAAAAATCATTTTTTCTCAATACTTTTGGCGGCAGCTTATCTAGGAATCTATCACTGTGAAGCGTCCAGCCTGTGGTGTAGAAGGCTAGAGGGCTCTATTAACAGGAACTTGTTTCAATAATTTACCAAAAATTTAATGAACTTTGTAACCACACTTAGTGTTTAGGAGGTTACTGGCCATACCACCCTTAGGTAAAGTTAGGTTATTTTGGCAGACTCCACAAGGCGACTCACTTAGACATTAATTAGATTGTCTATTGTGTTACCACATTACACAATGTATTTGAACGCTAACTAGAGGTTCTCTGTGTTAAACTAGGAGAAGCGCTGGGTGCTCAAAACAAAGATCCGCAGGCAGCGGAGAGCTTTTCAGGAGTGTTGATGAAATGCGCGCCGAGGTGCTTAAAACTTAGTCTAGCGAATGCCGTGCAGCTGAGAAGGAAGTGCTGAGATGATTCCACCTCGTTTTCCCAACAGCTGCGGCACTAGGGATCCG